CCCCCAGACGGTTGAAGCGACCGCAAATAAGATTCGTAACGGCGGATAATTTAAAACTTGCTACAACAATGTTGCAATATAGAAACAGGCGACAACTTATACAGCCATAGTACATGTACATGTATATACTCAAAAGTTAATCAGTCCCAATTTAAGGCTGTCCGGCCAGTTTTGAACTCTGCCAGTGGTTGAGGTTGAGAAGTCGGCCAGGTTATGTGTTGATTATGGGTTGGTAAATATGTGTTAATCCTGGGCAGGGGGTCACTGGCCTTGGTAGGGGTGTGCCGATGGGGAGTAAAACCCCAGATCCTATCATAGACATTTTCACCTCAAAAATCCTACCCCATTATAGACCAAATAGTGATTTTGTACATCCCATCAGAGACCAGATTGTCACTAAATTTATTCAGTTATAGGTTGAATCTACTCATCACCCGGACTCATCAATAAAAGTACTAAAACTCGGGTAAATATATAGGGACTTTTCTAAAGATTTTGATAACTCCCCGTATGAATTTTGGTTGCGTTCGCTGTGATTTACAAATAGGCCATGGCTCGTAAATCTTAAGGAGGTTGGCTTTCATTTGGGAGAGCCAATGAAATATTTCTAAATGGTTAATTCTAACTGCCCATTGCCATACATGGCTATGTGACAAGTAAACCCTGGTTAATCAACTTGACTCTTAATGAGAGATTTACGAGTTCCTGTAGGAAGTCCAAGTATTTTAAAATAAATAGAATCCCATATATTTCCTGGCCTGTATCCTCTGGGAAGGTCAAGTTTCTCTCATTAAACTGTGTGTGACCAACGCCCACGCATGGACTTGCACTAAACACTATTTAGCTGTGAAAAATATCATGAAAGTGTGTAAAACACTGTACTATGTTTTTGAAAGTCTCGTTTCAATGACTCTTTTATTTCGAAAATGTGCGGCATATTTACTTTCCTTTTGAACACCTTTGTTTACACTTAATGCAGCAACAATGTAGTGTGTGATAAAAAAAAAAATTCGTGCCATTTCTCAGTGACATTCCGAGCTGTTAATGTTGCATTACGACTACAAGCAGAAATACATAATAAGGTTATCATGGGAATACCGCAAAGTATGCACTCAGGCAGCACAGGATCACAGCGAACTCTGCTACGCTTCAGTTGATATGCTCACCGTACTGTGTATAGTTTGCAATATACAAGTAGGAAATGAATGTATAATAAATAAGTTTATCATGAGAATACTGCAAAGTATGCACACAGGCAGCACAGGATCACAGCAAACTCTGCTATGATTCAGGTGATATGCTCACCATATTGTGTATAGCTTGCGATAAAAAAGTAGGAAATGATTGTATAATAAATTTAGGTTATCATGAGAATACTGCAAAGTATGCACACAGGCAGCACAGGATCACAGCAAACTCTGCTACGCTTCAGTTGATATGCTCACCATACTGTGTATAGTTTGCGATATACAACAGGGGTTTTTCTAGAAAAAATGAACAAGAGGGAGCACACACAGGTGAAGGAGCGGAGAGACCAAGCTAGCACAGAAACAACATGGTGAATCAATCTGGAAACGCATTATCGGCGGGTTTCTGTGTCGTTTTAACAGTGTAAATATCCCCATTGAAATATTTTTGGAGTAATTTTAGTGTATTTGGTGTCCAGACTCATTGCATTTCATGGAGAAAGATATATTTAAGAAATTCGGTAAGAGGGCGCCAGCCTAGAGTATCATGGCGCTGCGCCCCTGTTCCCTGCTTTAGAAAAACTCCTGTACACATAGGAAATGAATGTACATGTATAATAATTAATAATGGTATCACAAGAATACTGCAAAGTATTCACACAGGCAGCCCAGGATTGCACCAACCGACACATAGTAGAGATGATCCCATACTGCTATAATTGTGGGAAATAATATTAAATCTGGATTAGGATTAATTAATGTTTTAATAGAAGTTTATTAAATAATTATCAACATTTCAAATATTATAATTTTAATAATAATCGCCCAAAATAACAAGGCCTTGCTGAGAATTATTGAAATTATAAATGGTTTAGGAATGAGTTCCTTTTGTCCCCCTCACCTAACACTACACCTACCCCCCCCCCCCCCAGTGCTTCCCAATTTAATTACATATGCCCCCAACACCTACATGTATAGTTAAATCGGCGGAGTCGTCACCCGCGCATGCGTCAGATGGCCATAGCGTGTCATTGTTTACAAACCCATGATCCTTTGCATTTTTAGCGTGTGTTGTTATTGTCGCTTGGGACTTAATTTCCACACGTGCACAGGTGACGACCCTCTCACTTTAAGTAAAGGGGCATATACCATTAAATCGGTCAGGGGGGTGCATGTGAGTTAAAGTTAGAGTTGGAATTAGGGGCAGGGATACAAAAGGAACTTTTCCGGCTGTTTTTTGCTGTTCATGATTACCTGTCCTTTCGTGATGTTTTTTTATTCGTAAAATTCACAGAAAATCAAAAATATTTTACTGTTTTTTATTTTCTATAAATACATACATTGTATAGTTGATACATTTAAAAAAAATCTGATCTTTGTCATTTTCAGTAAATGTTGAACTTTGCCCATATACAACACCTGTTATATATAAAATATAAAACACCTGTATAAAAAGTCTTTAGATGAGCTGACCATACAGTTTTTTTTTTTTTTCAGTTTTCTAATTTACTTGGTGCCGTATATCGTAAAGGTAATTTGAATTTCACCAGAGATGGTAACACTGTTGTCAGTCCTGTTGGTAACAGAGTGTCGTTATTTGACTTGAAAAAGTAAGTAGAAAGCTGTGATTTATTTTCATTTGATGAGTTTATACTAGTAGCATTGAAGAAGAAGTTACTGAGCAAGGTCTGAGACCTCTACATTATGTCTAGAATCTATGTACATTTCAAGGTCTGAATTCGCTACTCTGTTTCAAATTTTGAGCATAAACGTATATTATACTGTACAAGGATTGCTACCGCTGCCCCGCGCACTAGGTACATGTATTCCCCCCTGTTCGCCCGACGCGTGCCTTGAAAGAACCACGCGTGTCCACATTATACAGATGGTCATTTGACTCATAAATAGCAAAAGGACTTCCTAAATTTGGTCAATATTTTCGTGTTGATCAGTCAGTGAAAATCATGAAATATTATTTAATTTAATTCTATTTTCTTGGGTACGAAAGTTTGCGAAATGTCATCTTCAGGAGTGCAATACAATTTACGAAACACTAAAGTTCTCAGCAGGGAAAATAAAGTGTCTTATAAGACAATACAAGTTTCACTTTACCATAAAAACACATTAACTTGTTGTCGTTTATTGAATCGTATGAATATTGAATTTTTGTTTTTTATATTTGTTTTATGTTTCCATAGTAACAAGTCAGAAACTTTACCAATTGAAGCAAAGATGAATGTGACATGCGTTGCCATAGCGCCAGATGGTAACACTATGATATTAGTCGATGAAGGTAAGACATTTTTGAATTGTCGTAAATAAAATTTATGTGTACATAAGGCAGAGAAAAAAAAAAATATCTCTGTTTCTCTATATGTGCCTCGGATGTTTTTTTTTCCATCTAAAGCATTCCAAAATGCGCTTGTACTCGCACTTGTCTCAAATTTCCCCCATTTTAGCTCAGTATTCAAAAAAAACAAAAAAACAAAAAACGGAATTTATAATTTCTTGCAAACAAACAATATTTTTTTCATGATGGAATTTTTTTTTTTAATTATTTTTCCTACGTCATGATTTTTTTCAAAACTTGCCATCTTTAATTTTTAATCAGCACCTCATATCTCATATTTCTGTAATTTTAATATTTTTATAGAATTCTTTTATAGAAGTCAATAAAAATCTTAATTCAAATTTCAAAATTCCAAAAATAAATCATAATTTTGTGAATTCAAAGTTCTATGAGAATGAACGAAATGAAAATAGTGAAATTGAATACCAGTGAAAACTAATGCTTTCTTAATATTGGGGTAGGGTAGGGTGGGGTGGGGTGCGCGGTGTGGGCCGGGGCAGGGTGGGGTGGATGTTGGTGTGTGTGTACCATGGTGGTGGTGGATGGTTTGTAAGGCAGTTTTTCCC